GCTGCCCGCCCCCGCCATGCCCGGCCCGCCCGTACCGCACTGACCCCCCGCACGCCGCCAGCGCCGCTTATCAGCGCTCCGGGGGCGGGACCAGGGGCAGTACCCCAGCCTCCATTGGCTGCCTAGAGCCAACCGATCCGCCCCTCCTTAACGGCAGCCAATGAGAACTCTCTTTAAGCCCCTCCCCTCCATGCGCTGTGACGGTAGCCAATCAGAAACGCGGCCAACCTTAACTAGCATCATCCCCAGCTCTAGAGCCAATCAAAGAGGGACGAGAGACTCAAGCCTCACCCTCTTTCCCGCCCCCTAACGGCGACAGAGCCAATGGGCAGCGGGGGGCGGGGCAGCAGGCGGTTTCTCTTTCACCTAGGGCACAAGGCCGGCCCGTCCCGTCCCCTCCCGGGGCACGGCGGCGGAGGGGCCCGTCTGTGGGCCCGGTGAGGGGGCCTGGGGGGGGAACACGGCCTCGGGAACGACCGAGCCAAAGCTCGGGATAGGGCCATAGGAAACGGCTCCGGGTGTGGGGTGCCAAGGCCCGGGAGGCAAGGATGGAGCTGTGGAACTCCAGTGTCCACCATCTTCTGCTCCTCCAGCACCGAGGATCCTCGAATCCATTTCTGACCAAGTCACAGGGTCCCAGGTTGGAAGGGACCTCAAGGACCATCTGGTCCGACCTTTCTTGGCAAAAGCACGGTCTAGACAAGGCAGCCCAGCTCAGCCTTCCAAGTGTCCATTGTTGGGGAATCCACCACTTCCCCGGGGAGATTATCCCACCACCCCCGGTCTTCTCTGTGGGACCCCTGGTGAAAAGGGAGTCTCCACCTTCTCCGGTAGCCACCCTGCAAATACTGGAATGTGGTGATAAGGTCTCTCCTAAGCCTTCTCTTCTCAAGGCTGAACATACGTCTTCCATAGAAACCTTATAATTACACCGTGGTGTCTTTTCAAGAAGTCAAACATCACAAGACACAGGATTTTTTCCCTGTTCTAGTCCTCTAAAACTTAAGAGTCTCTAGTCCTCAAATAAAGATGGTTGTTTCCCCCTTTCCATTCCCATAGCAAACCTACACGCAGACTCTACCTGTGATGGGAGAGTTGGCCAGAGAGGAACCTGATGAACTTCAATAAAGACAAATGCAGGGTGCTGCACCTGGGGAGGAGTAACCCCCTGCACCAGGACAGGTTGGGGTGACCTGCTGGAGAGCAGCTCTGAGGAGAAAGACCTAGGAGTCCTGGTGGACAACAGGATGCCCATGAGCCAACAATGTGTCCTTGTGGCCAAGAAGGCCAATGGCATCCTGGGGGGCATCAGGAAGAGTGTGAGCAGCAGGTGGAGGGAGGTCATCCTGCCCCTCTGCTCTGCACTTGGGAGGCCCCATCTGGAGCACTGGGACCAGTTCTGGGCTCCCCAGTTCCAGAAGGACAGGGAACTGCTGGAGAGGGGACAGCAGAGGCTACAAAAATGATCAAGGGCCTGGAGCATCTCTCTTATGAGGAGAGGCTGATGGACTTGGGGCTTTTTAGTCTGGAGAAGAGAAGGCTGAGGGGGGATCTGATCAACACCTATAAATACTTCAAGGGTGGGTGTCAGGAGGATGGGGCCAGGCTTTTTTCAGTGGTGCCCAGGGACAGGACAAGAGGGAATGGGCACAAACTTGACCATAAGAAGTTCCATCTAAACATGAGGAGGAACTTCTTCACTTTGAGGGTGGCAGAGCCCTGGAAGAGGCTGCCCAGGGAGGTGGTGGAGTCTCCTTCTCAGGAGACATTCAAACCCCACCTGGACACGTTCCTGTGCAACCTGTTCTGGGTGGACTTGCTTTGGCAGGGGGTTAGAGGAGATGGTCTCCAGAGGTCCCTTCTAACCCCATGTGATTCTGTCTGGGCCCATCTTCTGCCCCCAGCAGCACGTGGTGACGTGGGTTTAAGGAAAGGAAGGATCTGCCCAAGCGTAGAGGGTGGGGCCCATCTCTCTAACCCAGGAGCCCGGGAAGCTGTGGCAGGGCGAGATAAGAAAAGAGGGAAAGGCAGGAGGTGGCAGAGCAGCCCGGGCTCGGTGCCAGCCCCTCTGGAGAGGCTGTGACAGCAGCAGACAGTTGGTCACCCCCCCGGGTGGCTATCGCAGCCGAGCAGCGCTCCCCCATCTCCTTCCTGTATCGCTCCATTTGCATGTAATCAGGCACCAGATGGGAGACAGAGGGTGCCCTCTTCTCCCTTCCAGAAAAACCTTGGGAAGGGGGCAGGGGGGGTGGGGAAGAGGTGGCAGGGCATACTGCAGTTAGCCAAGGAAAAGACAGTACGTCCCTCCTGATGGAAGCAGAGATGAGACAGGAACCCCCAGCTTTGGTTATTAGAGGTTAGTAAACAGACAAAACGCTACCCGTGGAACTAATCATCGTTATCTCTGCGAGCGAGGAGCACTGCCAGATCTCTGATAAGGTGGAAAGGCAGTCGCACAAGGAGGCACAATGATCTCTGCTCAGGACTGTCTGAAGGGGCAGGGGAACATTCCAGAAGAGCAGCAGCATTAGGAGGCAATTCTGAGAGTTAAGGGCATTCCCTGGGAGACACTTCAAGTATTTCTCTGGTCACTTCATCTTACAACCGAAAATTAAGTTTTTAACTGAACAAGGGTCCTCGAGTGTGTTGTCCCAACAGTTCTCCCTACCCAGCTCCCACTGCACAAACAAGGGAAGGCCGGACCCAGCCGATCTTTGAAACCTCCTGTGTAGACAGACAATTCCTCAAGTCAAACACACCCTACTGAAAACTTCCCCAAGGTCCACAGTAGCTATTAGCAAAGAAACAGGAAATTAAATGTAAGAAAAAGAAACGGAGAGGGAACTACCAAAGCACAGGTGCTCCAAAGAACATAGAACTGCAACAAAAAATAGTTATAAAGGTTAAATAAAGGTGTTTTGACCATATCCTTTTTCCCACTGACGGACCAGTAGCTCAGCTTTTCTAGGAACCCTTCAGAGTCAGTTCTTTCAAGCTAGAAATTCAAATTCAACTTTCAGTTTCTCTCCCACACTGGCTTTTTGAGGCACTGCAATTTGACCCCAATACCCACAGCTGGAACAAACTCCAAATATTCACTCCTCTGAGCTGTTTTGTTTCAGCACAAAGGAGGTCCCACAGCTGTGCCTCCGATAGTTCTCACCGTATCTCATGCTATAAATACAGCAAGGAATACTGAGAAAAAAAAATAATGAAGTGGTTTGGTACAACTGAACGAAGTGCCACTGCCTCTCAAGTCCAAGTTTTGCTGTCACCAAACACTTCCCTCAAGGTTTAAAACCCCACATTTTCCTTTATTGTGTAGGAAGAGGTAAGAAAGCACCAGCTGTCACCTATCAAACAGGCTACAGCCACTGTCACCCAGACAAGCTGTGCATTATCAACCAAGTTTAGTTAGCCAAGAACAGGCCTTTCCGTATCTTTCCCCAACAAAGACACACACCACAGAGTTATAAAATTAAAGTTCCTACATTCCTGCAGGCTATACTCGAGCCTACGCAATGCAGTCATCTCCCCGTAATTAAGGTTCCTAACGACGTGCTGCGTAGTAGCAGAAGTAACACAATCTTTTATAACTGCTCAAGGGCTGCAGGTCAAGGATCCAACTTCTCATCGTACTCTGCCTGGTGGTTTCCATTGCTTCTGCCACAGCAGTTTCTGGAGCCTTCTCTCCTCATGCAGAAGAGCTGACCTACCACCCCACCAGCTCTTCTCAGCTTTCAGAAAGCCACAAAGCTTCAGAATTATCAAATTCATCTCATGGCTATGAAGCCACCTATTCAGTGTGTTCCAAAAAGTCACCTTTTAACACTCCAGCACCGTCCAGTTCCTCAGTATTTACAGGAGAATATTTTTGAGTAACAGGCCTGGCCCTCCCTTCCCCACAGACCCCTCTGAGAACACCCCATTACACCTCCCACTGTTCTTGAGCTTTATATCAACGTCACTCGAGGAAGCGACAGGCAAAGAGGAAACACGTAAGGCCCAACAGTCACCACCACAGCCCTGTCATTCTGGTCCAGCGCTCAAGTCCTAAATGAGATTATATTTCTGGCTGTTTGCTATGGGTAGGAGGGAGACAGAGCTTAGATTTAAAGTCCTGATCAGCTGAGCATGAACGTGGAAGATCAAAGGGTCATTCAGCGCACAAGCTAAGCTTTCCCTCATTGTCCTTGAACAAAATTCCTCTCACTCTAAAGCGTGGAGTAAAATGCCTGCCTGTCTGCCTCCCACTCTATCCCCAAGAGAGATGGCTGCATTTCACTACTGGACAGTTTTCTGCACTCAAATGTTTTGAGATGAAAAGCTCTAAAGAGCAGCAAGATAAATAAAACTGCAGTTTATTAAAAGAGACTAACAGATTATTCACCAGACCAGCCAAGCTATTTCACAGTCTGGTCATGCTTGCAGTGAAAACAGTGGGAGTTTTGGGAACAGAGCACAAGCCCTGCTAAGAGTAAGGAGACATTATGAAATAGATCATTTTCACTAAGTCATGGAAAGGCAGGAAGCCTCTCCTAATAGTATGAATCATCAATATACCAGAAAGAAAGAGTGCACTTAAGCCTAATCACCGATGTCCAGCGCTGCCAACGTCGTATAGAGTGTGTAAATGAATCCAAGGAGAGCAAGTCACTCAAGTACCGACAAATTGGTACAAAACAGAAAGGACTCAAAACTACAGCTGTAATAAAGCACATCTCATACCTGCAACATCCTCCGCTGTTGCTTGGGTTCCTTCCACCCACTGCAAGAGCCATCTGATCATTCCACTGCTGTGACCCTCTAGCTTCTCCTGTGGGAAAACAGACAGAGCTGGGATCAAGTTTATTACCTGCTTTGGGATCCTTTCCTCATACACTTGCAGAAGTTCAGGTACATGATTTCCAATTTTCTTTTCTATCACCTTTGGCGCTGACAGCATCCAGGGCAATCCCCTGCTTTGTGCCAGGCCCTGCATCTACACAGGAGCTGGCATTTGACTGCTCAAAGTGACACAGGACACACCTAGGGGACACCAGTGCTGGTAAATCCCACTTATCCTAAGAGAGGATCTTGTTTCTCCTCACACGGATTCAGGAATTAGCCAACACCAGAGACTTGGTGAGCTTTCCCATAATAACATGGGCTGCATTAGATGTAAAACGTTCACAAGGAAGGAATGAGAGTTTGCTTTGGAGAATGTGTGTTAAAGGAAGTTTTATGTTTTTAGGACAGGGAAACCTGCAGTCTCTCAGCTTGCACAGCAAAGTGGCAGCGACTGAAGCTCTAGGTGAGCCATCAGTGGCAAAGCACGGTGGCTCAGTCACACAGCACTACCCTTCTATCTCCTGAAACCAAATTAGATTAGAAAGTATTAGAAAAGCAATATAGAAAAAAAAAAAATATGTATAGGGCTGTATTTGGCAGAAGAATATTACCCCCTCATAGATATAAGGCAGCCCCAAGAGAAGCTCCCCAAGAAGTGCTGCCGAACTTCTCCAGAACACGGAATTTATGAATTTGGAAGAACAGGTAAATAAAACTGTGTGGTAACAACTGGTACAATGTAATTAGGAAAAAATGCAGACGCTGAAGAAAATAACCTACTTGGCTCACCTCAGAGCTCAGCAAGCCAGAAGTTCATATGGGAAGAAACTTTTTTTTTTTTGCCATGAATAATTACAAAACCAGGAGTTTCAAAGGAAATCAGCAGTTTCCAGCTGGCACATAAACCTTACCCCAGGAACGGCCATTTTGCAGCAGCACAGTTCTAAGGGGACACAAACCCCCAGAAAGCAGTATCATTGCTCACCCCGATCTTTATTTATCTGACAAAGAGGTATAAAGGGCAGTGATCGTATCGTGTAAGATAAACTGCTGTAAAAGCTACTGCTCCCATCTCGTTATATGCTTCCTCCAGATAGATCCTCCCATCCTTCATCTGCTCTGCACTGGCAATTTGCACCCCCTGTTTGGTGTTTCTTTGGCTCCTTCAGTGCTAAGGCACAGAGCTAATCAGTCTCCTAGGAAACTAAGGGAAAGATAAACCTGCCTAAATGGAGAAGCAGCCAAATTGATGCATATTTTATATCAATCAGACCATCCCAGTGAAGGTGTTGGTCAATTTATCATCTTGTTCTCAAAATCATTTTGCCCAGCTCGGGTTCTTCCTTCCACCTTCTTTTGCTACAAACCCCTTTTACTCCTTGTGTTAAAGTTCCTTATTTTCCCAACCTTTGGCTGAGCCTCCAAGAATACTCCACCGTTAAGTTTGGGGGTGACATTTGGTTTCTCTCGTACCTGCCTCCTGTTTTCACTAAACAGTAGGTACATTCTAAATTATCTCTCTACCCCGACTACCCGAGGCACAGAATATGGTAATTTGGGACCACAATTTAATTAGTAAAGCAAGCAAAGACAAACTCTGTCCCTACATATAACCTGTTGTTAAATATCTCCAAAGTTACTACAATCAAGATATTCATGTCAGCTGGAAACAGAGCGACAAAGTCTGTGGCTACTTGCCCACAGAACCACAGCCAGTTTTAAGAAAAGAAAGAACTGCCCACAGGACAGGCTCCGAAACGCCAAACAGGATAAAGTTTCGCCTTGACTTCCCACATCACTGACATTTTTGGTGACAAACGTTTCTTAACACCTGTGGAAGTTTGTGTCATTGGGCTGAACAACATGAGCCGAGTTTTCCTTTAAGGAAGCGAGCGAGGGATTTGATTGATTAGGAAGCAAAGCATTAACAGCAGTGCCAGGCAGTTGGAGAGCACTGCCTAGACTGGAAGGAACGTATTAAAGGAGCAGATCACAAATCCAAAAGCAGACAAGAAAATCTAAAAAATAACCCATTTTTGGCAGGAACAGGACGAAGGTGGCATAAAAATATCTGGCCTATAAACAGGCTTTGGTCCTGCCAGGGCAAAATGCACTTTTATTGCAACTATTCAATAATTAGATTATACTATGAGACCCGAGGGAGGGAGGGAGGGGACCAGGAAGTGCGGCTATATTCAGCTGTAACTAAGTGAAAAACTTCTGCTTTCAGCAAAACTGAGACCGGATCTTTTTTCCATTGCAATTTAAATAATAATAAAAAAAAAGATGTAGGCCAAACTGGATTGACCTTGCTCCTGATGCCAGAAAACACAGGGTCTACTCGGATGTCTGCATGCCAGAGCTCCGGGGAAAGAGCGAGGGCGTGGATGGTGTTCAAGTTTACTGAAACACCCCTCTCCCTCCATCCCCAGCGATGGTGCACGGCCACGATTCTCCACACAGGGGTTTCTGTGACTATTTATACTACAAGTCAGTATCCATTCAAATCTAAACCAGCTTCAGGCTTTAAAAAAATAAATGTGACACACCCCCCCAAACTGTTTGCTGAACCATCTGCAAACACATCCTCTCAGAACTACAGTCCTCCTGATGTGCAACAGCTGAATTTTTTTTTTTTAATGTGAAAGTAAAAAAATACTATGCCAACCTGCAAAGAAACCCCACAGCCCAGACGAGCTTCAGCACTATGATTCTCTGAATTAAATGCATTCATTACTGCTGGGTTTGCTTCTGAAGTGTCCCAAGGTCCCCTGGAGAACCAGCCCCTTCAGCTGCAAACACAAGCCAAGACTCAAAAATACATAGGGCTGAGCTCGTTGTGTCCCAGGTCCCACAGATTTTCTACCACATTAAATTCTGGTTTTTGCACCTTCTACCATCTTCATAGACATAGATCTGCATTTAATCTGTTTGCACATCACCGACTGTACTTTGACAAGAGCTAATTTCAAGCTTCTCAGCTAATGAGTCAGAGGAATTTAGGCTCCAACACCCGCTCAGAGTTGGGCACACATAGATCAGTTGGCTTAGGCCCTGTCCAAAAATACAGCCAGGAAACAGCAGGGAGCCCTCAGCTCTCCTATAGTAAAAGCACTTCTGAGAGACAGTGACCCACTCCCACAGGGGTCTTTAAAACGCACCAAATTGGATCAGGAATTCTTCAAGCTTTACACACTTGGGTCAAGAGGTTCTCTGATGCTGTTCTATCGCCTGGACCTACTACTCCTAAAACCCAAATATTTAAAAATATTAAGCTGGAACCCAAACCAGAGGAAAGCCAGCTCTACTCACCTTCTGAAGACGTGAAAGTAAAAGGAGTCATCATCCTGGATCTTCACATAACAGTGCTCTGGATATTTGCAGCATGTTATTATTATCCTAGGCCTTCTGTAACTCTAGCCTCCAGAGCTGGACTGAGATGATACCTAAAAGCAAGTAAGATTTATTCAAGTAGAGCACTTGAGATACTTTTATGGCGTATTTTCATTATATAGCGTTTCTCTCACTTGCTTTAAAACACACTTAAGTAGGTAAAGTAGCCCTGCAGGAATGCATTATAATGGCAAATAACACACAAAGCAATTAAAGTGAATGCTTTAACATTTATAAAGCACTTACCAACTGAAAAACACGAACTACTTTACAAGCATTTATTCTGCTTCATAACCATTCTACATAAGTGAACCCACTTTAAATTATCACTGACAGAAGCAACGGTTATATTGAGGTCCCACAGGCAGCTCTCTCAATGCCACGTCTCCAAAGCAAGTGGGAACCAAGGTTAAAGATTAAAGCTTTAAACCTAATTTCAACTTATCAATGCTTATACCTGTTTATGGAGATTGGTCTGGTGAAAAATTCCTTTTCATTGTCTGTATTTTCTAAGATTCAGCAGGAAATACTTTTTATTTAAATACAACAGTGAGTGTACCCAAGGCTAAGTCCTGAAGATTTTTAGTGAGGCTAAAGGCCTACAGAGATTTCAACAGATTCAGTAAGATCTTCAGGGCCAAGAGATTTCAGGTAGAACTTCTGACACCAGTGGCAACTTGGCACCTGCATATATTCAATACGCAAGGATCTAGAAACCGAAAATTACTTTGTGTGATTTGACATGAAATTTCAAGTCATCACACACTTGTTACACTTTCTTCTGGTGCAGCATCAGGAAATTCTGACAGTTAGGAGGCTGCAAGTGTGCCTTAAGAACCTTATTAAAGGGAGTTTAACCTCGGTGGAGATCCTTGTAAGCAGAAGCTACACCAGTTTTGCACCCTGAAATCACTCCCTCTTCCCAATTTCGTTGTTTGCTCAGGGTGAAGTGGTTTCAGGCACTGACATCTAGTGGCGATGCCAATGTGAAGGGCACCTGCCGGCAAACGCAGCCTCGAGTTTCAAGTCCCTTTTGTGTTTTTTCCCCAGAACAAACCAGCAGTTTCAGCTCCAAAAAACGCCAGGGCTGGAGGTTCTTCAGTCCCGACCGCTGGCACACGGCCAGGGCCGTACACATCCTTCACACACAAATAAAAAAAAAAAACATACCCAGATTTTTATTTCTGACAGAAGCCTCCTAAGTTTGGGCTGGATTTTGAGCTGAAGCGTAGTAGGGGTAAGTTAAATCCTTGCAGTTTGTTCTGATGGCAGATACACACATACAGAAAAGCTCTTGCAAGGTCTGCTGTGGTCTCAACACGATCTGATTGATGCTCTTCTGAGAGCACGAGGCAGCTAACGCCACCTTCCCTTGTCATTGTCCCCTTCCCCTACACACAGTGGATACTCTAATGTCCACTCAATGTTCAACCTGCACACAGGACTTATCATCTCCTGATAATTAAACTGGTAATACAAACTGTAAGACAGGACGGGGAAGCAGATTCCTGGCTTCTGTTCAAGCACTGCCACCTCTAGGAAAGTTTTTAAACACCACCCACTTCTGTTCGCTTTGTTTTTCCAATAACATCCTGTTGGTGGTGATAAATCCCCCTAACACGCATTAACATAAACAACTGACTTCAGACATAAGCTTCAGTAACATCTAGAAGCTCTAGCTAATATTTGATTTGTTTATCTGATACAATTAGGCACCATAGCTCTCATAATGTGGTGGTTTTGAAAGAGGAATCCTTTCTGTCATCAACAGGCAACTATTTCAGTGGGATGTGGTAATGGGCAACTTTTCACATGGTCATCGCATTCTTTAGTCTTTTTCATTCAAGCAAACCTGCAACTGAATTTAGATATTTGCAAGGTTGATATTATGTTAGTACCAGCCTCTAAGCTAACTGTCATTTTTCTACCACAGGCAGATTCCGTTTGATGCCAAGAGATAAAAGGTGAAGAAGTTGCAATCTACAAGCTCTTTGAAATCTTTTTTATTGCTCGTAACCACCCCACATTTCTATTAGAGCCCTTCATCCGTTTGCAACATTAGACACATTCCCTCCTGTGAGGGCTGAGCTTTGTCTCACAGAAAATACAATGAAGACAGGAAACTACAAAGTGTTCAGACTAACTCATCCCTTCCCATTAAGGAATAGTGCCCTGCTCGTCTTCATTCCCACTCCTCTTGCCCTTTGAGGCAATGCTGTAGTTCATCCCAGATTTATTTTAAATGAAACATTTCAACCCAGTCTAATAACCCAAGAGTATAATGTTCATTAGCCTAGCACTAGGTTTTGGCTCAACTGCAGTTTGAAATCCTATGCAATTCCAAGCAGTCTTTTTTTTTTTTCTTATAAAATAGGAAGAATTCATGCATTTGTGCAGCAGTGTTTTCTCCTGCAGCCACTTTTCAGTGGGTTTTCAAATTGGTTCACTGAAATAACCAGACTTACTAATGAGCTGTTCATGCACTCATAGTTTTTCCTAGGCTTAACGTGTACAATTTTTAGATCGACTACGTACACTCCCACTTCACATACCACACATACTGCTTCCCATTCCTCTCTACTTGGGCAAAAGCAGAGGTATTTCATCTTGACTTCTTCAGAAGGTTTGCCTTCCAGCATTTCACAGGAGACTGGATGCACCTAGGAGCAGTAACAATGTGGAATGAGAGAAATGGTCTTACTTGCATGACTAAGGATGACATGCACTCACGAGGATTATAGGATTAGGCCCTGAGAATTTCATAATCCTTAAAGATAACCATAGTTGGAAAGAAATCATGTGTTTGACTAAATACCCTTATTTTTCCCCAGATCTTTACATAAAGCAATATACTGCTGCTCACAGACAGTGTTATCATATTAATGTCAATATATGATGTTTGACCAGCTACTGGCCCAGTCACAACCAGGGAAGCAGCTCCCGTGGAGCGTGTGGCCTGTGCAGGAGGAGACCACGCTGGGGTGAACTCGCTGCCTTTCAGCTCCCGGCCCACCAGAGGCCTGAGGCAGCAAGAGCCACCTCAGGGGAATCACAAGATGCCTCTTCGTTTCAGTACAGAAACACGACCGGCTCACATTCACCCATGAGAGAACCACACAGGCAAAGCTTCACCGAAAACAAACCCCCTTTCCAGAGCAGAAAGATTAATTAACGACTAAAGCCTTTCCAAACGAGAGCCCGAAGCCGCCCAGGCCTGTGAGGCCCGCCCAGGCCCGTTAGGCCCCTGCGACGGCCCGCCCCCGGAGCCAGGCCCCGGGAAAGGCCTCTCCCTCCAGCTGGCCGCAGGCAGGGCGGGCGGCGGCACCCCCCGCAGCAGGAAGGGGGGCCGGCAGCCGGAGGCGCGGCGCTCCCCGCCTCCGCCTCAAAAGCAACGGGGACTCACCGCCTTCCTCCACCCAATGGACCCGGAGACGAGCCTCTGCCCGGCCCCAAGATGGCCCCCGGCGGGAGGGCTCCGGCTGCCCGCACCCAACATGGCTCCCCGGGGAACACACCCGTGCCGCTTCCCGGCTACTCACTGACTTCACACCCGGACCCAAGATGGCCGCCGCCGCCCCAACCCTCAGCCCAAATCCAAGATGGCCGCCGGCAGCTTCACTGTCAGCGGCGCCGCCGGGATACCTGTCCGAATCCAAGATGGCAGCCCCCGCTGGCGTGAGGCTGGCTGGGGGGTCACGTGACCAGGGGAGGGGGGGTGTGGACCGTGTCCCGGCGGAAGCGTGAGGGACCGAGCAGGGAACAGGGACTGGCGGCGGCGGGAGCGGGCTGGCGCCGCCGGAGCAGACGTGCCGCAGGACGGGAGACACGGCTGTCACCACGGAGCCCGCCAGCGCTAACACGGCGGCCACCGCCGCTTCGCGGACCGGGGGCGCCGGGGACCAGCCAACCTCGCTGCCCCCGCCCCCACCGAGGATGCCGCGCAGGAAGGTGAGCGCGGCCGGGGAACCGGGAAGGCGCTCGCCGGGGGGACTGGCGAGCTCCGACAGCAGCTTTTTCCCCATTCCCCACCCCCTCCGCTACCTCTCCCGGGCACAAAACCGAGGGGAAAATAGCGGCCTTCAGACCCCAGCGCCCGCCCCCTTTCGCTCCTTGAGTGGCTCCCGCTCGGGCACGCTGGGCGCTGATTGGCCGCTTTGCCCGTCACTCATCGCCCCCAACGGTTATCGTTTCCCCTCCCCCGCGCCTGCAGCGCGGTCCGCCTCTCGGCTTTTCCGATTGGACAAGCTGTTGGAGAGCTGGTCGCCTATTGGCTGGGCTGCCTTGCCGGGCTGACAGTTGATTGGTTCCCACGGCTGCCCATCTACGCCCCCAACGGTCACCTCCCCGCGCGTGCCTTGTTTCTCCCTCTCTCCCTTCCCCCCATCCCACCCCGCCCCCGCGGGGTAGATGTTTCTTTGGGAGCGAGGCTTGCACCGGTTGGCTGGCGGCTGCCGTCAATCATCCGCGGTGGCCACGCCTTTTTGGTCTCTAAGCTGTCATTGGCTGGCTCTCCCTTTCGGCCGCTCCCACCCGCGCTGTGATTGGCTGGTACCGGCGGGGTCTCCGCTGGGCGCAAAACAAAGCGGCGCGGGGGCTGCGCTCGCGCCCGCTACCCCCGCCCTTCGCCTCGGGCGGGCGCTGGCGCCGTCTCCGTCCCCTCAGGGCCGGCGGCTGCTCGGGAGCTGCCTCCGCCCGCCCTCCGCCGGCCTGGCCGCCCGCACCGAGACCTACGGACTCTCCCATTCCCTGGTGTCCGGTCAGGGCTGTGTGAAAGGAGTCTTTGGAGGGCCTGGTGGCTGCCCGCCAACTCCTGAGGCCTGCTTCCCTCAGAGAGCCGCCGCTGCCTGGTGCAGGGGGCCGCTCAGGTGGGCCGAGATGAGGTGAATACAACTGTGTTCTTAGTCTCTTTTGGCCCAACCGCTTCGCTGAGGGCCTTCGTGTTCCCTGCCCTGCTTCCAGCGGGAAGCCCTCGCGCTGCCCTGAATTGCTGAGTGGGGAAGAGGCGGTTTGGCCGTTGCCGGAGCCCGTCTGTTGGCTCCACCACCTGCTCCCGCGGGGCCTGGTGCTCTGCTGGGCTGTCTCGGCTGGTTGGAACAGGCAGATGGTGTGGGAGTGCTGTGGGCTTGGCAGGGTGAACCGAGAATGGGCAGCTTGAAACATATGCTCTCCAGCCTTCAACCTTTATTTACCTTTTACTTAAATAAAACCGGATGCTACTGTGACCTTTCTTAGCAGATTAGTTTGCAGAAACTTTATTATTGCAGGCACTATCTGACACTGCATATTTACTAAATTAAAATATTTTCTTTAGAGTAATACACTTGACGCTTACTAGTTTGTGTATGTCATTGTGCCAGCTTGAAATTAACTATCTAGCATCAAATACTTTCTCTTTTATATATAGTATAAGTACAATATGCAAGTTTTAAGTGCTTTTGGGCTAATGTCTGGGTCTGTGGTGTTGCAGAGGAATGCGGGCAGTAGCTCAGATGGAACAGAAGACTCTGATTTCTCTACCGATCCTGAGCATACGGACAGCTCTGAAAGCGATGGCACATCACGACGATCTGCCCGTGTCACCCGTTCCTCAGCCAGACTCAGTCAAAGCTCTCAAGGTAAATGCTTAATTTTTTTTTTTAAAGAAGGAAAAGAAAAACAGCCTCTTAAGCAACAAAAGGCTCAATGTACTCCATATTCCTGACCTTTAGAACTTAAATGTGTGGAGTTTATAAGTAAACAAAAATATATAACTTTTTCATTGGCTGTTAATGTACCACAGCAAAAAGTAGTCTTTATAAATGCATATTGCACAACTGAGGTGACAGAAATCAAAACTGGACTATCCTCTGTTCAAAAAGAAAAGCTGTCTAGTTGTAAAGGGAAGTGGGATTCAGACTCCATGACTCTGCTGTCAGCTTTGCCCAATTTTTCTGAGGACTTTAAACATTTGTTTTCCATCTAAACAGCGATATTGGTACCGGAGCCAAGTTACAGAGAGAGAGTTTAAGGGTGAAAGCTGTTCTTATTTGTTTTGTTTGTTTGTTTGGGGTTTTCTGTACTGGGAAGATGTATTTTCATGACTTGCTGACGCTGATCCTGCTCTGCAATAAATGTAATCAACATATTGCCAGTTATTTTGAGTGCTTCTACTTTAGCATCCAGATTGTAAGAGGAAACATTGAATGTTTCCACCTCCTCATTTTTAGTGTTAGTCTAGTCATTTCTGGGCTGTTAGTCAATAGGCTGCCATCTGGCATCAAGGGGAGGAAATGACAGTAGATGATAATTTCTTTCCATTGCTCCATGTGTATGCTTTGATAAAGATTCTGTTTTGTGACAAATTTTATTTCAGGTAAGAAATACACGTGCACGATCACCTGGTAATTAGGTGTTAAAAACAAGAGCAAAAGTGGCAGGGATGTGTACAAGATGACTGATGTTTCTAGGTTACGAAAGCATTATTTTCGTGCAAAATAATTGTTATAGAGAAGTATAGGATCACAAAGCCACATGCAGGGGCCCAGATAAAGCTCCACATCAGAAGCAATCTTGCTATTCCCAAAGGTTATCTAAACACTGATAGTTCTTATCTAAACTAACGGTTCTTTAGCTTTCCAAATGGGAGCTGGTTTATAATTACTAGTTAATTAAGTAATTAAGTCCAGAGAAAGGTGATCTAATTCCAGATTCCTCAGTGTTGGTAAAAGCGCCAAGAGATTTAAGCTCGGAAGAGCAGAGCGTATCTTTGTGCTGACACGCAGCGGTGAGTTGTAGGACAGAACCCTGTGTTGATACCGAGCTGTCAGTCATAATCATAGACTCTCAGGTTGGAAGAGACCTCAAAGATCATCTGGTCCAACCTTTCTATCAGATGTTGGCATCACAGACTTCAGAGCACGTGTGAGGCGAGTCTCTGACTTCCAGTGGTTCTTGCGGGTGTAATTATGGTGTTTCTGTGGAATTAGATTCCAGCCCGGTTCGTAATCCGCCGTCGTTTGGAGCAGAAGAGCCGGTCTATTCTACGCGGAGGGTAACGCGCAGCCAGCAGCAGCCTGCTCCCGTGACACCAAAGAAATACCCGCTCCGGCAGACTCGCTCCTCTGGGTCAGAGACCGAGCAAGTGGTTGACTTTTCTGATAGAGGTACGTGAGGATGCGGTGAGGTGTTGAAAGTTTGCAAAATGCTGTTGGAAAGAGTATGTGACTCCATTCTCTGAGGGCACAGTGTGATATCCTGAGGATAGAGGGTTTGAGACAGCTGTCCGGAGTCACTTTACGTATTTTTTTGAAAGCTTTCTTTCAGGCAAATTTGTAACATCTTGATCCTTATTCAGACACTAAAAATGCAGCGGATCACGATGAGTCTCCACCTCGTACCCCCACCGGGAATGCCCCTTCCTCAGAGTCTGATATTGATATCTCCAGTCCAAATGTATCCCATGATGAGAGCATTGCCAAGGACATGTCCATGAAGGATTCTGGAAGTGACCTGTCTCACCGCCCTAAGCGCCGCCGCTTCCATGAAAGCTACAATTTCAACATGAAATGTCCCACTCCTGGTTGTAACTCTTTAGGTAATTTCAGCTCCAGGATTAATCTGTTGGTTTTTGCATTCCTGCTGTGATATTCAAAGTCCCTCTCAGTTGAGCTATAGGTCCCAATAATAAGCACTTAATTAGGACCAGAAGTATTACTGAGAAGTGGGTATAGAGAAGGGATATGAAGCATATCTGCAGGTGTATTCCTCCTGGAGGTGTTTCTGGCTCAGGAGTGTTTGGGGATGACAGATAAAGCACAGGTGAGGAGTATGAGCACAGGTGTGGGAGGAAGATGCAGAGTCTTGCAGGAAGGGCACTGGTCTCTGCCAGAAGCAGGTTTTCAGAAAAAAATTATTGCAGACCTCTAATATACCTGGCTGCTTGCATGGAGTGCAGCTTTTGAGTTAGTGTGAAACAGATTTTCCTTCTTTGTTCCTAAAGCATGTGCCATGAACTGTGAAGTGTGCTCCTCCTCTTACACTGAGCATGCTCCTTGAGAAGCTCCTATGAGCTATCTGCCCACCTAGGATACTTTTTAAACATCTTTATGATCTTATGTTAAAAGTGTGGGTTTTTTCTGATCCTTTGCAGGACACCTAACTGGAAAACACGAGCGACACTTCTCCATATCGGGATGCCCACTGTATCATAATCTCTCAGCAGATGAGTGCAAGGTAAATGAGTCTTCTGTTTTATCTTCAACTGTTATTTATGGTTTTTTTGAGGAACAAAGTGCCGGGACCGGTCATTTGTGAACAGAAAATAAGAGTGAAGATGTTTCAGCTGATGTCTTTAGCTGTAAAACATTTCTATGTCTCATCATCTGTGAATTACAGTTCTGAAAATTCACCTAAAGGAGAAATGGAAAAGGTGAAGGCTTTGCTAGTTTGCTGCAGCACTGACAGATGAGTTTTGGGTTCCAGGTTCGAGCCCAGAGCCGGGATAAGCAGATTGAGGAGAGAATGCTGGCCCATCGGCAGGACGACAACAACAGGCATGCCACCAGGCACCAGGTAGGCCACCTGCACCTAACGAGTGGCTGCTCAGGTGAAAGTGGAAAGAAACCTCAGCTTGTGGTTTCCAGTGACCATGATTTTAACTTGATCTCCCTTCATCACTTCTTGGGTAAAC